AATGGAGATCTCTACCTAAGGTAGAATTTTTTAAGTCTGCGAAATGTTAAGTTATGGTGTTTTGTAATCTGATTTGGATATTTATTATTTTGTAAGTGTCGAATTCTAGTGACTGTGTTTTGAAGTAGTCTATATATATCAATTAGACTTTTACCTGCATCAATTAAATCTTTTAAACTTATAAAAACTTTGTCCACATTGATATAGCATATACATTATCTGGGTAAACTAGTCTCATTTAGCTCGAATAAACCAGTCATACTGTCATAGGAATAGACAGGATAAAATGGGTTAGAGCAGCTCGCACGAGTTCTCTTGGAGTCAGCTCAAATAGTGTGATTAGGATTCCAGTAGCTTGGACAACATGTCAATATTCTAGTAGCTCGGGTAGCAAAGTATTAGTTCGGATAGAAAGGCGTTAGCTCGGACAACAAAATGCTAGCTCAAATAGCGTGGTAGTTCAGGCAATATAGTAGCTCGGGCAAAAAGATGTTAGCATCCCAGTAGCTCGGGCAACGAGGTGTTAGCTCGAACAACAAAATGCTAACTCAGATAGTCTGGTAGCTCGGACAGTAAGGTAGCTTGAATAGTGTGGTAGCTCAGACAGGAAGATGTTAGCATCCCAGTAGCTCGGACAAAGCAAGTTGACCTACACCTAAACTATTCGGTAACCTATGTGAAGTTGGCCAGACCTGTGGAGACTTAGTCCAGATAATGATATTTGAAAGTTATGATAGTAAGAACGACCTATTGATATGGAACACATGTAGGGTCATCTGAGAGTGATCTAGAAGAACCCGCATATAAGAATGGCTCTCGGGCAGACCTAGGGGTACCAAAATAACCGTCTGGCAGGACGTGGAATAGTACGGGCAATCGAGCGGGCAATCGAGTAGGCCATCGGGCTGCCGGGTAGGGCAAAACTTGTTCAAGAAACTAAGAAGTTAATAAATAAATAAAAGGTATGAAAGGAAGAAGGTTAATCACTCTATACACTTCCAATTCCATTCCTTAAGTTTATATACAACCATTCATAGACTTTTAATGACTTGATCGTCGAAGGTTTTACGTCGGAAACACTCCTAATTTTGCTTGTCTCAAAGAAGCAAGTAGGTCAAATGAAAATGAAAGGCCGTTTGAAGTGTGATTGCCCATCACATATAATAGATTTTATAACATAATAACTTACAACTTCGGGCAGTGGTCATTCGATATTCGACCTCAGAGGTAGGTCAATCGGTTTTTGACCTTAGTATGGCAGGTCATCCGGTCTTTGGTGTTCGACTCCAGTGGCAGGTCACTCGGTTTTCGACCTCAATAGCGGATCATTCAGTTTTCGACCTCATCAGCAGGTCATTCAATTTTCGACCTCATCAGCAGGTCATTCTGTTTTCGACCTCAGTGGAGTCAGGTCATTCGGTTTTCGACCTCAGTGGCAGGTCTTTCGTTTTTCAACCTCACTGGTCATTTTGTTTTCGGTATTTCGATCTCAGTGGCGGGTCATTCGATTTTCGACCTCATCAGGTGGTCATTCGATTTTATAGATAGTCATTTGGTTTTTGACTTAAAGGTGGTGTCGGGTCATTCGGACTTCGACCTCAACAGCAGATCACTCGGTTTTTGATCTCATTGGGTAACTCATTCGGTTTTCGACCTCAGTGGTCCTTCCGTTTTCGACCCCAGTGAAAGGTCATTCGATTTTCAATCTCAGTGGCAGGTTGATGGAAACAGCCAGAGGACGCATTTCACTCTTGGATCGAGTTATGCTCACTCGACCAGAGTGGGAGTATTAAATGATATAGGATATTATACTAGACCGGTTTTAATGGATAAGAAGGAATATATTGGAGAATAAGCTTACACATGAGACAGGACACGCGGCATGATGATATTCGCTAAGCCCAACTTGGGCTCTAAGGTACACTCCCCCTATAAAAAGGAGCTAAAGTATCTCAAAAACGCAATCTCTCTACATTCATTATTATGCTCTCATATTGTATAAATTAAAGCAATGAAGATTTTGGGTGAAAATAAAATATTTTAAATCTATACAGCTATATGAAAAGGTTTTATTTAATGTAAATCAATATTTTTTCGCTAAAAAAATTATTAGTTGCTTAATAAGAAAACTTTAAATATATATATTTTTTTTTTATTTCCTTTTAGTAAATTTTTCTTTAACATCCATAATAAGTAAGGTAATTTGAATTCAAATTGACCTAAATCTAATAACTAAACTTTTCAAAGTTTTCAATCAGTTGTTTCTTTCTAATTAATCTATTTTATAGTTACTTTTATTGATTTATTGATGTGATATCAATAATTTGAGATAACTAATTATTTTTATGGGATGATTATATTTAATTTATTATTGAGTATATTAGTTAATATTTCACATATAGAACTTAAATTTATTATTTATAATTTTTTTAAAATAAAATAAATTCTAAAGTTATATTATAATATATATTTAGTTTGAATAATATAAAATAGTAATTTATATGTTTATCCCTCTTGGGTTTAAAAAACAATTTTATAAATATATAAAACTATAAGTAAATAGTTATTTCGAGAGACAAGTATAAATGATATTAAAATAATAAACCAATGGATTATTTATCGAACAGTAATGTAAATTATTAGATTATAAGAATTCAAAATTTTTATAATAAATATTGTTATTATATAGGATAACCCAATGAGTCATTGTCTTCATCTTGCCTCAGCCTAACACGCTAATCGTACCATGTAAATCATAAGTTGAGAAACAAAATAAAAAATTCACAAGATATATTGTTACAAATTATGATGACAAACCAACTGATCATATGTCGAACTATGCATGAAAAATATTAACATAAAAGGAAATAAAAAATAGTATTTACAATACACATTGACATAAATTATAATGATAAACAAACAAGTAATCTGTCCAACAACAGTGCAAGTTTTAGCTTAAGAATAAGATTAAAATATCTATAATGTATATTATTCCAAATTATAATAATAAATAAACTAGTGTCCAACTATCATATGAATTATAAAACTACATAGAAAATCCTTTCTTTTTTATTTTAACGGAATGATAGAGTAGATATAAAATCCTAGATTTTTATGATATATATTATCATAACTTGTACAAAAATTAAATAAATAATGAAGTAATTAGAAATTAGTAAATCTGCACTACAATATTTTAAATTAAGTGCCTTTTCATAATATTTAATATATTTTTTTAATTATACCATCATGTATTTAGGAACAAAATAATATATGATAGCAAGACATGAGTAAGGTAAAAGAGAGATAATTATTATCGTGACTATTATCTACTAAAATGTTTGAATATATTATATTTTCATGTTTATTAATTTTAAACAATAACTCTTAAATGATATGTATTTTATAATGGGTTAAATCAACATATAAATCAAATATCATATTATCCAAATAAAAGAAAAATAAAAATTAATATTAATATTTAAAATTATTTTTATATTAATCAATATTTATTCATTATAATAATTTATATGCATGACTACATTAGACTACAAGAAAATGATGAAATTCCAATGCAAAATTCCAACGAAAATATATTCCAATGGGATTCAAACGATTCTGTGAGTTTTATTCCAATGGATATTTCAATGCTATTATTTCTGTTGAAATTTTTTAATGGATTCTAACGGAAATTCAAACAAAAAATATTCAATTGGAATTAGTTTTCCATTGAAATTTCAGTTGGATTTTTTACGATTCCAACAGTGGATTTCCAATGGGGGTAATCCATTGTACTCAAATATTTTTAACTATATAATGGTTTTTAAAAATGTTTCATTTTTCTCAAAAAAATTCTTTTTGCATTTTTTCAAAATCATAATACACAAAACACTATTTACTCAATCACATACTTATAACTATAGTATGCATTAACTTTAATTATTAAATATTTATATTTTTATTTATAATTAATGCGATGCGTGGGACAATAACACTACATAAAAATTGTTACATTTCAATGGAAATTACGACGATAATATATATTTCAATGGAAATTTTAACGGATATTTTAATAGTATAGTTTCCGTTGAAATGATTCCAACGAAAGTAATCCATTGTACTGAGTTTTCCATTAAAATATTTGAATAAGTAAATAGTATTTTTATAGAAAGTGATTCTTTTTTCTAGGAATAATGAAATACTTTTAATATTAAGAATTGTTATAAGATGTTTGTTATAATTAAATATACGTTTGCATATGGATAATATTTGTTATTGGTAAATGTAATGCAATAATTGGGGGAAAAGTCCAAAAAGTGTTTCATGAGTTTTATAATAAAATTAGAGATTAAAATTGATATTATAGTTAGAAATATTTAGTATGTGCAAATATAATTTTAATTGGTAAATATCCGGTAATGATATTTTTTTCCCAATTTTATCAATAGTCAAGATTGAAATTAGAGAAATGTGATTTGAACAAATAGAGTATTTTGACAAAACATAAAAAATAAAATTGTATCCAATCACAATTTCAATACCCTAGTTTTAACCTGATAATACGAAATGAAAATTTATTGTATCTAATTATCGTGCACAATAAAAGGCTCCTCTATGCAAATCTTTTTCGTTGATATCATTATATGTTCCACTTATCGATAGACAAGTATTTACATGTCTTTTTCATGCTGTTTCAGGTCCCTAAAAAAAATAAAAAATAAAAATTATGTTATAGATGATGTCACGATATATACATATAAGCCGTGATGTCACCATTTTAAATATGATTTCCTTATAAATAATATCGGTGGTCATATCGGTCTAGCCATCGGTATGCGATATTACCTGTCGGACCGGGTAATATCAGTGATATTATCGGACTAGCAAATATAATGATATATATAAATATACAAAAAAATATATAACACCAAATGCAAAAAAGTAAAAAAATAAATGACCATAATCATTAATTTCAACGTCTCAATGAGACAAAAATAAAACATATTAACTATAAATTTAAATTTTATGTTTTTAAATTATTAAATTTTTTTTTTTTATTTTTTTTATTATTGACCGGTATTTACTGTATGATTCCAGTACAAAAATTCAACATTTTTACATTCATTAAGGGTATTTTTAGTATTTTAACCAACACAAAAATGTGGGCCCCTCCTACATTCAGTTCTTCTTCACCCTCTCTCAATCAAAAAAATCAACATTTTTACATTCGGGTATTTTTAGTATTTTAACCAACATGTGGGCCCCTTCCACATTCGGTTCTTCTCCACCTATTCAATCTCTTTCTCTCAAACATACGCACAGAGCACCACGACGATTTCTTGCTCTCGCTGGTGAGCATCTGGCCGCTGCCGACCGCTCGAATCGGCCCGACCTTCGCCGCCGTCATCCTAGGCGGCTCCACGAGACGAGAGCAATTAGATCGACCTACTCGAGAAGCTCTCCACCTTGAAATTGGATGTTTGATAATTGAAATTGGCCTACTGAGAAGCTCTCCACGAGACCGCTTTTTCCACCGATCAATTTCCACGACCTACCGCCGAACACCAGCCCTCGTCGTCGCTGGCGACCTCCGTCCTGGCAACCCTGGAACCCAGCCGCAGAACTTCCGTCTCTCCCCGCAGCACCGAATTTGATGGCACCGCCATGGACGAGAAGCACGCGGGTTCTAATGGTGTCCAAGATGTTGACGTACAGGAAGGTGGCGCCACCTCTCAAATTCGGGCCTCCCCGGTGGATTTGAAGCTCAGAGCTCCGGCAATAAAATCTTATTTTGGGCAGCGACGATAAAATCTGATTTGGGGCATGATATTTGAAAATTGGATAATTTTTAGGATCAAATTGCAATTTTATAATTTTTAGTATATGTAATTTAGTCATGGGTCAAATTTATAATTTATCAAAAAATTATAATTGCACATTAATGTTCAGTACATTGCACAACAAAACATTTGTATTTGCACATTAATAATATCCGCTTTACAAATTGCACTTCAATGTCTTATACCATAATGACCAAAATACCCCTGCATGAAAAATCAAAAGTCCACATATTTACAGAAATGCAACCCCGTGTTTGACTAATGCTGGAGCCTTTGACCGAGCTTGGAGCGTTGGTATATCACACGTGTTTGACTAATGCTGGAGCCTTTGACCGAGCTTGGAGCGTTGGTATATCACATCCAACGACTAAGATTCATTCTTATTTCTTTCACTATATCCTTTTCTCATATGATCTCAATTCTATATATATAGGGTCGTACTCCAGTGAGAATGGTGCTCAGTGAAAGATATAAGAATAAATCTTAGCCATCAGATCAGATGATCTAACAGTAATAAACAATCAAGCATTTATATATTTATTAAAGGTATTTGGACATTTTATTATCAATCAATGAGACTCATGCCAATTATCTACTCACACACATCCAATAATTGTCTGCCACGTGGCCACTACCACTACATCATCCCAATTCCCACCCACTTTATCTCTCTCCCACGCACACTACACGCACTACACCAACCATCTCTCTCTCTCTCTCTCTCTCACACACGCTACACACACTACATAAATGACTGCACACCCAGTTACACACACCGTCGCACCACCATCGTTGAATCGCCTCCAACCTCCACCGTCGCGCCACCCCACCATCGTACCACCATCGACGCCCACAACAACCAGACGTCGGCGCTCCGTCGTCTTGGCCGTTGCCGCCGACGTCTCTGGCCGCAGACTGCTCTGGCACCGCTTTAGCCGCCATATTTATAGGGCTCTATCGGCCGGACTTCAGAGATCGCCAGGGACCCGAAATCGCCGGCGAGCAAGACGCAAATGAAGGTACTCGTCTGCATCTATCGACCAACAGGGGCGTGGCGAAGGGAGCTATCCTTAACCAGTTTCGCGACTGCGACGCTGACTGAAGGACCGCCGTCCAAACGGCGACCTACAAGGGAAGTCGACGACGGCTGTGGTACCTTAACAGAGATATGGCCTGCAAATTGAACGGGGTTATGTTTTAGGAAATTTGTTACTTTTAAGGGACATGGTTGCAATTTTATAAAATTTAATTATTTTTACTTTGGTCCATGTGGCAAAACTGTAATTTATAACAACTAATAAATGAATATTTAATTAATATAGTAAAATTGTCAATATTATGCACATTAAAAAATACATGGGTGCAAATTGCACAATACCGATATACCAAATGCAAAATAGTGATTATGAGAGTGCACATTAATGCAACAGTATATTCTTCGATATATTCTATGCAATGGCCCTCCGTGACAAATCAGAAGTACACTATTACGCATTTTTTACATGCATTAAATTTTAAGAAATTTAATTATAGTGTAATTTAATTCATGAGATGAATGTGTAATTTATTTAAAATTTAATGCACAATGTACTATCTATATGTGTACATCTAAAATATTTTGTATATGGACTTCACAATAATATTAGATAAACTGTACATTAATTAATATGAAATTGCACTTTGTTACACGATTGTGTATTTACAAATGTAATAATTTGCATATACTCATGTAATGTTGTTCATTTGCATAGGTAATAAAGTGCATTTAATTTACCGATGTTGTGCATTTTGTATCGCAGACAGTGGTGTGCAAAATTCGACAAAACCAAATAAAAAATGACCGAGAATCCGACCACCAGAAAAAAAATAAAAATATTATGAATGTTCAAATGTGTATGCTGTGAAATTATGTAATATCGCAATATTATGACAGGTTATATAGTGTTAACGACTTTACAAAATATTGTGCATTTCACGTGTTATTATTGTGCAATATATAACAAGTTTATCTACAGTATACTATGTTTAAATTTTAAAAATTGCATATAGGTCCCCAATGTTTAACCAATTCTCCAATAAAAATCCCCACAGATCAAATTTGATTATCTTGCAGTCAGCTTTATGTCGGAGGCCGACTGCCGGCACCGCCGCCGGCTCCATCTCCGATTCATTCTCAGTGCTGCAATATCTTCATTGAGGATGCCGGTGGATGAGTAAGTTTCTCTCAAACCGGCAGGCTGTAGGGCTGGTCGGGCCGTTCACGGTGGTGGCAGAGCTGGCCGGTGTTGGTGATTGCTAAGGCAGCGGTTGCTGTCGCGGTGGACTGGTGGCGACGACTGTGAGTCGGATGTGGGTTGTGACGTGACCGTCGGACTGTGCGGGTGGTGGCAGCCGGCGGGGAAGGGTGGCAGCACAACGGTGGTTGCTACTGGTCGTATGTGCGTGAAAGTGAAGGCTGTGGCGGGGACCGACGGCGAGCGGCGTGACCGGCGGCGGATGGTTGCGCCGGCGAGCTTGTAACTGTGTGTGTGTGTGTGTGTAAAGTTTGTGAGGTGTGTGTCTCGACTGTGTGTGTAGAAGTGTGTGTGAGAGAGAGAGAATTGTTGGTGGGTGGGTTATGTTACGTGGGGGTGATGGTACAAATACCATAATGCCTTTATTGAGTGGTAAAATTTATACATTTGACCAGAATAACTACATTTATTTACTAGAATGTCATCATATGTTTGACTATTATTAATAAATTTTGACTTGATCATAATCATTGATATGTTGGATTCTACGGTACAATTTAATTCTCATTTCTTTCGTTGTGATCCTTTCTCATTTGAGCACACTTCTATATATATATATAAAGAGAATAAATATTTACCAAAAATAATAAGCAAAAATTTTGGGTAAAATTAAATGCATGCTAATTTGAGATTTTTTTTTTATTTTGTATTTTCTTTTAACAACAAAATCGGACATCATTTAATGCTTCCATCAAAATTAGGTATTGTTCAATTCAAATTCAAAAAATGCAGCTGTGAATCTTCTTTAAAAAATTTTGACTAATTTTTTCTATCATTTTGGACGGATTTGCCAATCATTTCTTAAATTAAGTATTTTGTTCAACTTAAACTTTCAAGTATCGACTTCAAAATCTGGTGTATATCAAATTGTATGCATTTTAAAATTGAAAAACACCAATGTTTATGTTTTTTAGATATAAATATTTTTTTTTTAAAAAAAAACAGACCGTTTTTTTCCATCATTTTGGACGGATTTTCCAACCATTCCTTAAATTGAGCATTCTGTTTACTTAAACTTTCAAATATCGACTTCAACATATGGTTTATATCAAATTTTATTTTCAACATTTAAAAACACCAATGCATACGTGTTTTAGATATAAACTTCCTACTATGAAGAATTTTGTTTAATTTGACACGTATTTTATAAATCATACCTTTTCAAAATTTTGACTTATTTTGTTTAAATTTTCTTGATTTCAAATTTGAAATCTTCTGTTGGAGTTATTTGTAATTACTAATATTTTATATACTTTTAAATATTGGCTTCATTCTTACCTATGATATCCCCCAAGGGCTGATTTGAACATTTTTCGGGTAAATTTTTTACACATTCTATAGATTAAATTATATATATGTACACACAGACACACACACACATATATATATATATATATATATATATATATATGTGTTAAATTTAAATTTCCTTAGACATGTTTTAGTCACAAAATAGTTTAGAAAATTTTTAGGTGAGTTCAATTTTTTTAATAATAATATATAATATTTTACATAATCTTATAAATGTTATATAATATCTTAGGTGTTTTTAATATTTTAAAGATACATGTTTTATGTCATTTTTGACAAGTTAATTTTATATTGTAAATTATATCACTTGTTAACCCACTTCTTTAATTTATAATTATTATTTAATATTGTTTACTCATTCAATATTAATTTATAATAATTATTTAATATAGTTTACCCGGTGCATCGCACGGGCTACGCACTAGTTTTATTTAAACAAAGATGGAGATTGGTTGGGATAGAGATCGGCTTTCAAAATGAATCCTGAAATGTTATCATAGTGTATATCTTCTTACCCTTAATTACCATAATTACTAATAATACACGTTGAAAAGATGCAAACTTTTATGTGAATTCTTTCCAACTAGTACAGAGCCCGTGCGATGCACGGGGTGCACAATTTTAAGGCTATTTATCCAGGCTTATAATTATATGCATGAATAAAGAAAAATGTACGGGATATATATAGTACGTGACCCGTGCAAAAAACGAGATATATTTATTTGGAGAATATTATATTATAAGATGCAATATTCAATAAAAGTTTATAATACGCAAGAAAATTGTACAATGTTCAATAAAAGTTTTATAATATTCAAGTGGCGTCTTAAAGTCTCTTGTACATTAAGACTACTGACAAAATAATATTTTAATCAATGAGTTTCCTTTCCTTGTAGCTAAATTGTGAATGTGATTTGAGGAGTACAACAAATCGATATATAGCTGACTTGCTTTTCTCATTGTAGTTTTTTTTTTCTTTTTTTTTTTTTATAATGAATTTAAAGATATTCTAAAATATAGCAAAAATTAATTTTTTTATTACAATTAGGAATTTTACTAAATATAAACTCTCAATCTATGGTGTTAATCAACTTTTAAGTCTAAAAAATTAAGAATTTTTACCTCTTTTAATCAACGTTTAAGTCTAAAAAACAATAGAGTTATTATAAGTTTTTTTTTTCTACATCTTTTAAAACATTAAATATGAGCATGTTAGGGCTAGCTTGTAAAATAATTAATATATTATCTCACTAAAATATTTATGCTAATAAAAATTCAATTTTAGCATATAAATTTATCCCTTGATATAAGAGAAAGTAACAGTTTTACTTATTGTTGTTCACCATATTCATATTTAATTATTATTTTATTATATAATAAAAAAAATATTGTTAAATAGTGTAGTAGAATTGTTATAAAATTATATGATTTTTTTTTTACAATATGGATTTAATATTTTTTTTATGATTTGATAATATAAACAAATCTATACTTAACTTTGACAAATAATACAAATAAATACTTTAGTATTTATTTAATGTATACACTAAATAGGAATATATTTGGTATAATCAAATACCAAATATAATCAAATAAGTCAAAGTGCACATTTTTATTTGGTATTTGATTTTTTTATTATTAAAATGTTTTTATTATACTTACCTTGTTAAAATAAAATAAATAAATAAATTAAATAAAATGTTATAATATCAAAATAGTAATGGCATTTCATGCAGTTGACTTTTCTGGATAGTAAATATAGTAAATAAAATCTCCTTTTATATAAGTACAAATTGTATAATACGAAAATAGTAATGCAATAAATGTTGTTGACTTTTCTTTATACTAAATCTGGTAAATTGTATACCTTTTAATATAAGTATAGATGAGTCAGAAGTCTACAAAATAAGTAACTCAATTGCTATTCACTGCCCCCTTTCACTAGTTACCGCCTTCCCCCATTTACTCCTTTGCGCCCTTAACCCTTATCTCTCTAAACTTTTTATTTCTCTAAATTTCCGAACTTTCAACGAGCGATTCGAGCACCGAAATAAATTCGAAAAAATGTCGAAAAAATCTTACGGCCTCGGCAAATGACTCTTCTCTAACAAGGTAATTTTTTTTTGAATCTGACAGGCCGTCCGACCGTCGTTTCCGGACGGACGGCGGTCGTCCGGTCGTCGGTTCCGGACGGCCCAAAAATTGTCCGGTTCCAGACGGCCGAAAAACCGTCCGAAACCGCCGGCCGGTGACGAGCCGGCCGGACAATTTTTTTTTTTTATAATTATAATAATAATAATAATTATAAATAATTCTAATTAAAATAATAATAATAATAATAATAATAATAATTATTATAATAAAAATTATAAATTATAATAATAATAATTATATATTATAATAATAATTATTAGTAATAATAATAATAATTATAATAACAATTATTAATTATAATAATAATTAAATAATATAATAATAATAAGTTATATAAATTGTAATTAATTATAAATTCTAAAAATAATATTAATAATATTAATAATTATAAATTATAAATGCTTATAATAATAATATTATAAGAAATAATAATAATAATTTGTAATGATAATTATAATTAAATATAATAGTAATTATAAATTAGTATTAATTATAATAATTTAAATAAAAAATTATAATAATATTATAAATCTCAACAATTATAATTATAATAGTAGTGAATAAAATTTATATATTAAAATACAAATAAATTATAATCTATTTTAATAGTTATTAGAATAGTCATTACATATGGAAAAATTTAAATTATATTTCTGATTCAGGGTGTTGGCAGACCTGGACAATCTAATGCCAGGGACGACGACGAGGCGTTCGATGACTATTATGATGGTTCTGGCACCCGACACACTAGAAGTCGAGGCGTCAATGCGTCCGTTCGTTGGGAGAGGGACATGGAAAGGCAGACGATGATCGATGAGGCTCGGAGGATACAGATTCGTCAAGCTAGGCAGAGTTCGAGACCCCCCGCACCAGTGCGAGATGGTCCGCAGGGATATCATTTTGAGGGCCAACCAGATAGTTCGCGACTCCACGGAGTCCTCCCGTACGGTGAGCATGGATTTTATTATCCTGGCAAGGCAGGCAGTTCGATGCCCCCGGCACCAGGATCGTACGATCAGTCGCGATATGCTTTTCCCTGCAGAAGTCGATACCTCCTCGCGCACGCGTACCATTACCCTATGGTCAGCAGAGGTATGCTGATGAGTCGTACGGCTAGAGGGAGCAGGGTTCAGAGGAGTGTGACTCGGACGAATCCTCAGATGATCAGGACCATGCACAACCTACGGGTCCTAGCCACCCTCGTCCTCCTGTATAGCCTGTTCGTCCGGTACAGCCGGTTCTACAGCAGGTTCGTCCGGTACAGGCTGTTCGTCCTACACAGGCTGCTCCTCAACGACAGGCTGGAGGGCGTTTTGGCCCATCTGCATCCTCATCAGGTAAATAATTTACGTATTTATTGTTGTTTAACATAAATTATTTTCACTTAATCATAATAAATTATCGGTACTGTTAGAAAAGTATTATCGGCCTGCTCCTCAACTACGGTATAATTATTTT